CTTAGGGACCAAAGAAATAGTACAGAGCTTAGGACAGTTGCCTTGCATGCAGGGACCGCATGCAATGGATCCCTAGCACCTCATTTGGTGCCCCAAGAAGCCCCACCAGGAGTAATCTCTGCACAAAGGAGCCAGGAGTTAGCCTTGAGCACACCATGTATGGCCCAAGCCTCCCCTCCCCCCCAAAAAGAAAAATGTCTTAAAGGCAAAATAAAGCCAAAACACAAAGAGAAAAATGGCACAGCTCACTTTATCACTAAAACTACACACACTGAGGCCTCAGAGATAATACAGCAGGTAAGACACTTGCCTTGCACACAACTGACCAGGGTTCAATCTCCAGCACCACGTATGGTTCCCCAAGCCTTGCTACAAGTAATCCCTGAGCATAGGAGTTAGTCCTGAGAATCACGGGGTGTGCCCCCCCAAAAAATTTAGAAATAAAACTACATATATCACTAAGATCATCCACTACAAACCACAACAGCAGATCAACATTGCACAGACTGAGCCTTAGTGACATAATCAGCCATTCACAGCCCAACTGATCACACCACTCAACACACATTCAGTACTATATATGTGTATATACATATAACACACCATTTTCCATTATAATGTCATGAATGCTTCAAAATCTGGGATATGGCTCCAGCCTTGCTTATGTGAGGCCCTGAGTTCCACTGCAGTGCAAAAAAATAAAAAATAAAATATTTAACTTGACCATACATAGACTCCAAAATGAATGACCTACTCTATTTTATTTTTTTTTTTACTGGCCAAGTTTGCTTAACAAACAAAAAATGAGAAAAATCATAGAAAAAAATATCAAATTTATGGTTACCAAAAGCATGAGGTGAAGAGTGAAAAAATGGGAGGAAGGTAGTAAACTGGTAAAGGAGTTCTTATGTAAAAAAACAAGTGCTACTAGTGTAGATTACAGAATGATGGTATGACTAACAGCTACGTGAGCTACTGAAACTCAGAGTAGATCCTCAGTTCTTAGAACAAGAATAACTTTTTCTATCATTCTTTTTTTATTTTCTTTCTACTTTATCTACATAAAACAGTGGGTGTTAACAATATAAAGGTAATTATTTTGCAACATATACGAATATAAAACAAGTCTGTGTGTGTGTATATATATATATGTACATATACACACATCATCTCACTAAATCTATACAGAACTACTCTATTTTAAAAAGACCCTCGGCTTACCATGGAAACAACCACTGGCTAGATGCAAGAAAGCCTTCTGCTTCAACTCCAGCTCCAACTAGATTTGAAGCCTAGACTGGAGCTTGCACACCCAGGCCCCTGAGAGCAAGCACTCTGCTCAAGATACCTACTACAGAGAAAGCACCCCAGATGAGAGAGGAGTCATAAGACCGCCATCACAGCCCAGGCTGACCCCCTTTTTCAGTCACCTGTCCCAGAACTAACGTGTTGTCACTGATGGCTTCACAAATCAAATGACCAAGCTCTCCATTGAAAGGCACCTTTTTTTTATAAAGATAAAACTAATACCAATATAGGCATTCAAATATTTCTTAGGTCATACTAGAGCACCTGGAAGTAGCTTGTTCTTGTTCTTTTTTTCCAAATAAATCTATTCAGAGTTGAAAAGTTCACTTCTAACTCACAACAAAATTATAACTGGATCAGCGCGTTCAAAACTAAGATATTAAAATGAGATAGCATGCAAAATTGATTTGTAAATGTCACAGGGCCAAAATTACTAGCGTCAAAAGCAGGCTTTGGAAACCAGGTGGAAAGTGGGGCTTGCCTGGGAAGATGGAAAGTGAGAGGTTCTCTCATTGTAAATCAAAAATATGTAGGCTAGAGGCTGGAGCAATAGCACAGCAAATAGGGCATTTTCCTTGTACGCAGCCAACCTGGGTTCAATTCCCAGCATCCCATATGGTCCCCCGAGCACCACCAGGAGTAATTCCTGAGTGCATGAACCAGGAGTAACCCCTGTACATCACCAGATGTGGCCAAAATTTAAAAAAAAAAAGTAGGCTAGTCCAAAAATAGAGAGAATATGGGGGATATTTTCTCTCTATGAGAGGCACAGGAAGGGTTGGAAAGGGGGGTATGCTGGGGACATTGGTGGTGGAGAATGTGCACTGGTGAAGGAATGGGTATTTGATCATTGTATGACTGAAACTCAAACATGAAGGCTTCGTAATTGTATCTCACAGTGATTAAATTTAAAAAAATGTAGGCTAGGGCAACCAACCTTTTTCCAACTATCACTTCCTTCCAACCTTGTTTCCTTCCTGAGCGCACCCTGTCCACCAGGCTGACTCTCTTGACTCATACCATGGCCCCCTTGGACTATCCTAGGGGCTCACAAGGGCCAAATGTCCCCAGCTGAGAATCACTGAGAGGCTGGGGAATAGCTGAACAGTAGCACATGCACTTCACAATTCTGGGGTCTTGGGTTCAATCCTATAATTCCCCCCCCCCCAAAAAAATAACCCATAAGGTAGCTGAGGAAAATCAGCATGCCTGTAGCAGGGGAATCAAGGCAAAGAGTAAAACTAATCAGAGGTTAACTGAGGGGGCTGGAATGACAGTTCGGCTTGCCTTATACATAGCCCAACCCAGGTTCTAGCCCCAGCAGCCTTTAAGGTCCCCTGAGCACTGCGAGGAGTAGTTCCTGAGGGCAGAGCCAGGAGTAACCCCATGAGCACTGCCAGGTGTGGCCCAAAACAAAACAAAACAAAAAAAGATTAATTGAAAAATGGTGTGTGTGCTGGGGGGGGGGGGGGGGGGAGTAAAAAAAGTCTACAATGGCACCATCTCAGAAAAGTTGAATTTCCTAACAGCCCTTAGGAACAGGTATAATTCTGAAATTATCCCAAGAGCTGTGAAGAGGAAGAACTGAAGAGATGAATGTCAGGGAGACCAGTCTGTAAGTATTAAATAATGCAAAAAAAAAAATAGAAAAGGTTGTAGAAAAAGGTGATAGCTAAGGTCCTGAAAGGGGGTCAGTCTGATGGAGCCTGCAGAGGGAGCTGACTTGATGGCAAGCTGGATAAGGGCCATGCTAAAAGATGCTCCCCAGGACTGGGGGGCGGGGGAGGCGGGAGGGGGCTACAGCATGCCCACGCCTGAGTAGTCCTAACAAGTCCTCCACTGGCATTTTCAGATGGCATCTGAAACCATGTAGCCTTTAAAGAGAGGCACCTCTCCATTTCAGAAGAAAACAGAAAACTAACACCACTGTCAAAATAATGTGGAAATACCCCAAGCCCCAAGGTGCCAGATTTGTCCCTTCACAAGGGAAGCCAGCTTGTCCAACCCAGGGGAACTTCCTCTCCACCTACACAAAACTGCAGGAGAGGAAAATTCCTTCTCTCCATGCCCCAGAGATCTCTCCACACCGGACGCTCAAGCTGGATTCTGTATGAATATTGTGGATCACATGCACACCCCTGATGATAAGGACACGTTGTCACAAGTAAGTCAGGCAAATTAGAGTTCTAATGGGTGCCTGCCGCTGGAACAAAGCCAAGAAGCTACTAATTAAAATTTGAAACGGGGAGTGGGCAGAAATATGGCACATGTGGAAGACCTAGGTTTGGCCCAGGCACCTCATGGTGCCCCATGTGCAGCTTGGGTGTGGCCCGGTGCACCCCCAACCACACACTGCCTGGAGCGACAGTGGGCCCTTAGCTCTGCAGGGCGTGCCCCCCCCTCCGCCCCCGCAGCAACAAATATTTTTTATAATTTTAAATGCCCAAAATGATATCTGATGGGGTGGTTTTTAATGTTCCAAATGATAAATTCTGTTCCAGAATGCACTGTGCTACATAATGATTCTGCAGTTTTACAGGCGTTTTATTTTCTGCAGCTTCAAAAACATGCAGTTGGAAAGCAGACATCGAAGTGTTCCCTTAGCCTAAAAAGCCTTCCATGATGCGATTTCCAATGTTACCAAGCAGAATGGCTGTCAATAACAGTGTATTCACTGCCTAAATTCTTCTACGGAAAAACATATACACGAAATACCAAAAAAAAAAAAAAAAATCAGCCTCATCCTAACTAACCCGTGGGATTCTATCTAGGGGCAAAAGGAGCCCGAGGGCTTGATTCGAATTAGCTCAATTGGCCACGTCCCATCCTCAGAAAGGTTTAATCACCCACCAGATTTCCAAAGACTATCCAACACGTTATTTACATACACATTTCTCGTTTAACCGGGGGCGTGGGGGGGGGGGGGCGAATTCCACCGCTATAGTTTAAAAACAAACCCGCCAGCCTGCCTTGCAAGTGCATTTTTTCTTTTCCCATTACCCAAGAGGGCCACCGAGCTGTGACCTCGTGATAAATAAGCGCTCCCTGCGCGCCCTCGCCGGCCCCGCTCCGGCGGTCCTGAAACGCTTCCGACTCTAGACTCCAGGACCGAGTCTCCAAGAATAAAATCTTGGGCTGGGGAATGAAGATCCCCCAGCTCGGGAGCGCAGCGGCTTGGGTGGGGTTGAGAGTGCGGCTCCGGGGGGACGCAGCCCCGCTCCCCGCCGCCGCCCGACCGGCACGGACCCGGGGAGCCGCGGGCGCCGGGAGCCGCGTCTGCCCCGCGCCCGGCCCAGAGCAGGTGCGAAACGCACGCCCGGCGCCCGCCGCCGCGACCCTCCCGTACCGCAGCGCGGGGCCGCGGGCAGCTCCCAGCCCATCGGGTGACCCCCGCCGCCACCACCACCCAGGCCAGTCTGCAGAGGACGGACAGTGCGGCCGATTGCTGGTCCTCCCCCGAGCCGGGTAACTTCCCACCCGCAGCCGGAGCACTCTCCGTCCCACGCTCTCCCCACGGCCCGGCTGCAAAAGGGGGCGGCGGGCGAGGCCCACCCGCACCTCGCAGCCTCCCGGGGAGGCGTGGGCCCGCGACCAGGATCGGGGTGCGGGGGATGCCTCGGCCTCCGCGTCCCGACCCCTGCCTCCCCACCCCCACCCCACGCTCCACCCCTCGGACTCCGGACGCCGCTCACCGTGAAGGGGACGTCCCCGACGCTGCCCACGGAGTAGCAGTTGTCGCCAGGGTTGACAGCCCCGGTGAGGACCTGATGCAGATGCATCTCCGAGCCCGGATGGGCGAGGGCGAGAGCGCGGCGAAAACGAGCCCCCGAGCCCGGCCCTCCCGGAGCCGCGAAAACCGCTTCCCCCTCCGCCTCCCTCGGGACCCCGCCGCGCCGCGGCTCGGGCTTAACGCCTCGCCCCCCTCTCGCCGGCGCCCGGCGTCGTCCCTGCCATGGGGAGGGAGTTCGGGGATCGCCGCGGTCGCCCGGATCGCCGCTCCGCAGCAGAAATGCCCGGATGCTCCCCCAGCCTGCTGCACCGGCGCACAAATGCGGGAGGAGGGTCAGGGTGCGGGTGAGGCGGGGAGCGCGCGAGCGGGGCGCGTGCTGGGCAGGGGACGCTCCGCCCGAGGGGGACTGGGCGGCGCGCACGCCCACCCGCCGGGGGAGCGACGGGCGAGTGGGCGGGTCAGCCCCTCCTGCTGCTGCTGCTGCTGCCGCCGCTGCTGCTGTTGCTGCCGAAGCCGGGGCTGGCCCGGCCCGCCGCGCCGCGATTACGTGTGCGCGCGCGGTGGTTTCCAGGGCGATGGAGCGCGCGCGCGCCGCGCGGCTCCTTCTCCCCCCCGCCCCGACATCGGGGTTGCGCGCGCAGTCGTGCGGGGGTTCCCTCGGAGCCTCCCGGGCTGGGCCCCCGGGGCGGGGACGGGGGCGGGGCGGAGGCCGCAGGGAGCCGCGCAGCGCACCGCGCTCCCAGGACGCACGGCCGGTCTGTTTGGCAGTGGCTAATCTGTTTCCTACGACCCGGGGTGATGTGCCGTGGATCTCTGCAGGCCAGCCGTCCCTAGGAAATTCGACTCGGGCAATCTGAGCTCCCTTCGGTCTCCTGCGGCCTCGTGCATAAAATATTTTACTTCCACAGCAGAGGCATCCGGCAGCTGTTTGGAGACGGCGTACTCCTCTGATGGCAAGTTATTCTCTTGCCACCTTGTATCATCGTTGCTCTAGACAGCGGAAGGGGTAGAGACGGGTGTCTGGAGACTTTCCCTCCCCCCGCCCCCCACCCATGCGTGATGTCATGGATTCGCAGCATCGCCTGATTTTTTCCAGACAGTCTGGCTCAACTTGAGCGCTGAGTCCACCGACGCAGATCCTTGCTCCAAGTTCAATTCATCACAAACGTTTGAGTGTGGCTATGTAAGCTCACGGGGAGGAATTAAAAGGGGTGCTAAGACTCAATGCCCTGTAAGTAAACAGGGAGAATACCAGGTACTGTGATTGAGACACAAAAAGTTATACACTTTTTTTTTTAATCAAAGGCATGTGTAAATGTTATGGGGACACTGACATAAAAGATGGGTAGAATGCTGGCAGCTTGAAATTGACAAGGAGCAGGGTGTTCAAATAGAAATCACTTGAGCTAAAGCTTTTTGGTGTAAAATGACAGAAAGTGTTAGAGGAATAATGATAAATGTTGGAGGTGGATAACAGGAGTGATAGCCTGGGGTGGACTTGAAGCTTCCAAATGCTGCAGAGACCTGGATTCCATGCTGCACTCAGACAGTGGACCACTGAAATCCGTATTGTCAAAGCTGCTTTAGGAGGATGACTTTGTCACACTATGAAGGATCATTAAAAGGGTAGGGAAAATTGGAGGCAAAGGTCTGGCAGAAAATTAGTCATTTGTTCCATTTGTGAAAATGAGCAGGAGCCAAAGATGTGCCCAATGACCTGAGATATTTTCTTTTCACTTCATGGCATAACTAATCCCTGTCACCTAGACTACATACCTCAGAACCTCAGAGCTCGCTCTCTCTCCCTCTCCTCTCTCTCTCTCCCTCTCCTCTCTCTCTCTCTCTCTCTCTCTCTCTCTCTCTCTCTCTCTCTCTCTGTCCTCTCCTCCCAAGTTCTTGATCACGCCCCTATCATCTATCATCCTCACTGCCATTACCTTCTTTTCAGGTTTCATCATTCCTTCCTCAGTTACCAGAATAGCCTCTAAACTGGTTTGACTGCCTTGTTTTCTCTCCAGTCCATCCACCACTGCAGCCCAAGAGACGGTTTTTAAAGCAAAAATTTCTCCGTTTAAAATACCCTACTCCCTACAGAATAATGTTGAGATTCTTTTTTCCTTGCCTGAGAAACCATCCATGCTGAAGTTTGCCTAATCTTGAAGGACTTTATCTCAAGGCTGTTCCCTCACACCCACAACAATTCAGCTCCATCAAACTGTTTCTCTTCGTTGTTTCTAGAGTATACATACCATGGTCTTCTAGGCTTCCTTGTTTATGTTCATGCTTTCACTCCTCTGACATGCCCTTCTTCATCTTGACTGGATAAACCATAGCACTGTAGCACTGTCCTCCCGTTGTTCATCAATTTGCTCGAGCAGGCACCAGTAACGTCTCCATTTGTGAGACTTGTTGCTACTGTTTTTAGCATATCCAATACACCACAGGGGGATTGCCAGGCTCTGCTGTGCGGGCAGGATACTCTCGGTAGCTTGTCGGGCTCTCCAAGAGGGACGGAGAAATTGAACCCAGGTTGGCCGCGTTCAAGGCAAATGCCCTACCCGCTGTGCTATCGCTCCAGCCATAGATTAGTTTAAAAGTCATCTATTCATGAGCGTCTGGAGAGATGGTATGGAAAATAGGGTGCTTGCCTTGCAATACAGCTGAGCAGAATGCAATCCCCAGCAGCCTACATGGTCCCCCAATCCCTGCCAGGAGTGATCCATGAGCACAAGGAAGGAAGCCCTGAGAGCCACTGGGTGCCACCAAAAAAATACAAGTAAATAAAAAATAAAATAAAACTTAGCTATTCAGGGTGCCAGACCAATAATGTAGTGGGTAGGCATTCGACTTGCATATAGCTGACCCAGGTTTGATCCCCGGTGTCCACTATAATCCCTGGAGCCTCCAAAAGTGACCCCTGAGTGGAGAAGTAGTAAGCCCTTAGCACCATCTTGTTTTGTTTTTTTACCATTCTTCCCCACCACCCCCCCAAAATAGTTACCTATTCAGTATTCAGGCTTAGGTTGTAGCTCAGGGGGAGAATGCTGCCCTGCATGTATTTGATTGCCTGGGTTCAATTTCCAGTACCACACAAAAAAATGAACTGTGATTTGGACTGAAAACAATAGCTCAAGGATCTACATGTGGGAGGCCTGAGTATCATCTCTGGCATCCTCTGGCCCCTGAAAGCATTACCAGGAATGACCCCAAACACTAAGCTGAGAGTAGTCCCTGAGCACTGTCCCCCCTCCAAAAAGGGGTTACCTATTCTGAATCCCCGCTACCCCAAGCGAACATGCCGATGTGTGAGAGTCTAACGTGAATAAATGAACCCAAATGGAATGGGACATGAACCTCTTATTATAATAACATTTGTGTTTGTGAATATGTTATATGGTGATTTTTATAGTAGTTTGTGGTGGGAGGTATGCGTGCTAGTGTGAGTTTTAGTATTCTGTTTACAGAATATTGGGTTCTAAGAAATCAAGGGATCTGTTAAATTATTTACTGCTAACCGTGAGCCATTAAAGAAAATTTACCAGACAGCAAAACAGAGCATGGGTTAAATGAAACCCCATGCTATGCATAAGGTACCATGAAGACAAATACTGATGCTGTGTCTTGGTACTAGCAACTAAGGAGCATGTGCCAAAGTGCCAAATAAATTTGAAATTATTTCCATACTGTCAGCTTGTATCTTTGATGTATGGTACAAAAAGCCAGGAATGTGGCTTAAAGGACTGGAGCACTTACTTTACATGCAGGATCCTTGGATTCAAACCCGAGTACCCCTTGGTCCCTTGAGCACCTCTGCAAGGGACACCTAGCACATAATATGGAGTAAACTCCAAACTCATAGTAGCCCCAAAGTACTGCTGGGGATGGCACCTCCCAATTTTTTTTAATTGGTATAAAGCACGTAGTTAAATACTCCAAATAAATTCCTTTATAAGAAAGTTGCGTGAACTTTGTGACCTTGGACTCTGGGCTCAACGGGATCTCTGGAGCAGAGATCCGCTGCCTGCTTCCCCCAGTCTCCCGCAACCCAGGGGTCACACCCATTAGCCACCCCTGCGGGCACCAGATAATCTCCTCATCAGCCACCCTCCAGAACTCATGGCTGCTTCTCCTGAAGGGAGCATAAAATATGGCCCCCATAATCATGCCACCGGACTCCGTGCCAGGCTGTTTTCACTCGAGGTGCCCCAGAGGGGGGCTGGTGAGAGTCCTCCCCACCCCAAGGGACCCAGCCCTGGCAGCCGACCTCCACTACCCAACCACCGCCGCTCCAGGCTGCTTTCCACATGCTCGGGCCAAGCCTCACATATGAGTAAACATATTCCTAGACACATCGTAAGACAATCCCAACCCATTTTCCATAATTATCACACCATATTTGATAGGGTTCAGACAGTAGGCAACAAATCATAGAGGGAAATACATATATATGCCTCTCAGAGACCTCGGCAAGCTACCGAGAGTATCCTGCCCACACAGCAGAGCCTGGCAAGCTACCTGTGACGTATTTGATATGCCAAAAACAGTAACAATATCAGGTCTCATTCCCCTGACCCTGAAAGAGCTCCAATATGGCAGCATTGGGAAAGACGAGTAAGGAGAAGCTGCTAAAATCTCAGAACTGGGACAAACGGAGATGTTACTGGCACCTGCTCAGGTAAATCGATGAACAACAGGTGTTCATCACTGACAGTGATACAGTGACAGTGATAAGAAATTGACACATTTAGATATACACCAGTAGAAAATATCACTATCACTATCACTATCACTGTCCTCCAGTTGTTTATCTATTTGCTCGAGCGGGCCCAGTAACGTCTCCATTGTGACAATTGTTACTGTGTTTGGCATATCGAATACATCACGGCTAGCTTGCCAGGCTTTGTTGTGCAGGCTAGATACTCTCGGTAGCTTGCCGGGCTCTCCGAGAGGGGCGGAAGAATCGAACTCAGATCGGCCACGTTGGCTGCATGCAAGGCAAACGCTCTACCCGCTGTGCTATCGCTCCAGCCCAGTAGAAAATAATATTTG